AAAGAGGTATCTAAACAAATCAGGATTGATATCTTTGCCATGCTTCGCATGGCGAGCCGCTGGCAGGAAGTCCTGTGCTGACTGCCACCACCGGTCGATGCTTTGCATGCCAGTATAGCACAACTCGTCAGAAGCTTAACTTAACATCACGCTCAGGCTCGTAGTGAGCCATGCAATCAGCATACTGCGTGACATGCTTAACTTCACATCACGCCATTGCTCGTAGCGAGCAGTGCAACCAGAATATCGCATCAGAACCATGCACTTCACTGGGACCAAGAAATCTGGAAACCTTATACTTTCTTGCGGCAACCATAGCCACTACCTTCGGATCTAGCACATGTCTTGGCAACTGAAGACATGGCGGGACATCGTTTGCCAAGCACTTCGAGCCGCGCCGGCAGACGATCGACAGATGATACGCAAGGCCGCGGAGCCGTGTTTCTCTGCTTTTCTTTGGGTTGGACTGCCTCTTTCTCGCAAGACTGCACTCCATATGCGGTTCTTCTTCCAATTTCTAAGGCTGGGATCACATTCCGCGACATGCGTGGCAGCATGGCGATCAGTTTGGACAAAACAGCGATGCAGCGGTGGTTTCGCGGCTCCAAGAAGTTTGCCTGGCGCTGGAATGGGTCCTGCATTCAGCTTCGTTTGCCCTGGCTCTGGCTACTGCAGCCTGGCAGGACTCACTCCCGCGAAGAAGCGTTGTGACACTGCCCACTTCTGAAAAGTGCAGTTTTCACTGACTTCAACAGACTCAGGCATCGCATCCATCCGCTCCTATAAGCTTGCGCGCTCCTTGGCTGCAAAACTCCCAATCCTGTCCTGCGGGTCTGCGCCTGGCTATTGCCTCCGATTCTTGCCCAGCCGAGGGTAGTGGGTAGCGTATGACCACTCGCACCAGCACAGAAATGTCATTTGTTCATTGCGTCCTGGGCATGCGAGAAGGAGAAACTCCTGAGGCGCCTCGGCTTCCCGCGTCACGTGTCTATGTCAATTTCCACGACATGGACATCCATCTAAGTGACAGCACGTCCGCAAATCTGGGACTACAGCCATAGCGACTGGTACATGAGTGGCGCCTCTTCTTCCAGTCACACCGATACTTGGCCCGACATTGATGCTTTCTGTGAAGCATGACGTGTCAAAGGCAGTATAGTCTCACGTGCAGACGTTGCCATCTTTCTCCATGTCAGGCGAGGGCTGCTCGGGGCCTGGAGAACTCGACTTAAAGAGTCATCTTGACTGACAGTGGCAGATTGTCTTATGCGGTGCTATCAGTCCGGTTTGTTTGCTTTCTAGCTCCGGGCCTTCTGCCTCAGGACCGGGAGCTCCTACCAGACAAGACTGCTGTCTCTACAGCCTGTCAGACAGATGCTTGCCTGACAGATATTACTTTCAAGTCACAATGAGGTTGTTTGCTGCTCAAACTTCTGAATCTGACGTCGTCTGAGGAAGTGGCCGCCGTCGATGTTCTCACGGCTGATGGGTCCTCTCACACAGAATTTCGATCGACCTTGGAAAATTTCTACTTCTGCGGGTGGGGCTTCGTCTGCTTCACGGTCCCAATGGCTTCACCAGCTTCACCACTAGGCTTCAGCTTCGAGGGGGCACTTTAGCCTTTAGCTTCACCGGGCACTTTATGCCTTCAACTTCAAACTTCAGCTTCAACGGAGCACTTTAGGCTTTAGCTGCTTCGATGGGGCAGTTTGGCCTGTAGCTTCAAGGTGAGGATACGGCTGGCATGGAAGTTCACACGGATACGGATGTCTCGATGGCTGAGAATTCCTCTCAAACACACTCTGGCAGCAGTGATGAGGTGTTGTTCTGGTTCTGCCACTTGTTTTTTCAGACCTACCTGCATTCGTCTCAGGATATGGCCGGCATCGAAGTTCGCACGGCTGTCTCGATGTCTGAGAATTCCTGTCAGACTGTTCTGCTGCTGCCACTTGTGTGCTTCAGCCACATGCAATCGTCTGAGGATACGGCTGGCGTGGAAGACCACGCGGATGTCTCGATGGCTGAGAATTCCTCGCAAACAGACTCTGACAGCAGTGATGAGGTGTTGTTCTGTTTCTGCCACTTGTTTTTCAGACCTACCTGCATTCGTCTCAGGATATGGCTGGCATCGAAGTTCGCGCGGCTGAGTCGATGGCTGAGAATTCCTGTCAGACTGTTCTGCCGCTGACACTTGTGTGTTTCAGCCACATGCGATCGTCTGAGGATACGGCTGGCGTGGAAGACCACACGGATGTCTCGATGGCTGAGAATTCCTCGCAGACAGACTCTGGCAGCAGTGATAAGGTTTCGTTCTGTTTCTGCTAGATCAGGCATGCGACGCACCAACGTCCTGCTGTGCGGCTTCTGCAGCAGCGAGCACCCGACCGTGTAGGTCTGACAGCCGTCTGCAGCAGCACGAACCTTGTGTTCCAAGATTTCGGCCGCGATCGTTGAGCAGCACCGGTGAAGGCCGCCTCCGACTACGACCCTGAGATTCTCCAGATCTGTTTCCTCGTGTGCCTAACGTAAGTACTCTGCTCTTGCCACCCATTCCAAGCACGTGCTAGCCTCGAGCTTTGGGACTGGACTCTGTAAGTCTCAAGATCAAGGAAGCAGAAGGAAAGAAAGACAGCCTGACAATGCTTTTCGTGCGACAGAGATGACATGCGTGACGGCGGCTGCGCTGGTGTCTGACGGCAGAGTCTCGGCGGATGCTGTGTCCTTGCAATGCTAACCATGTCGAAAGAAAGGCGTTTCTACATTCCTGCCCACTGAGAGCACGACGACGGTGGCATCGCGTGAAAAGGGCCATGCTGCATCGTCCTCATCGGCACGCAGATCCATGAGGGTCATCTTCTTCGCCTACAGAATTTTCTCCAGGTCACCGAACTCCTCAGGCAGAAGGAGTCTTGCTGCTCTGTTGAAAACAAGTGATAGGAAAGGGTGCTTAGGGATGGCACCTGCAGAAGTCCACTTGAAACCGGTCGGACGCCGGTCCTCCTCCATCTGGCGCTGCTGAAATGGAACGCTGCTCTTCTCCAATTGAGGCTGAGGAGCCCAAACCACAGACGGCCAAGTGAGGACTGAGCAATCGGGCTCAAAGTCGAGCGCCCATCACTGTCAGACAGCCGAGGAAGTCTCAGTCAGCAAGCGCAACAGAGTTGAATCAGTGATGAGTTTCCACTGCAAAACTCTGTCAGACTGAGGCAAGAAGTGCCAAGGCGAGCCATGTCGCACGCTCATGTGTGCTCCTTTTTGTAGAAACGCCATCTCGCCACGGTCCTGCCGCCGTAAGATGAGGCAGGTCGTGCTTGCGACCGCGTCGGAAGCCAGTGTCCTTCTCTTGAAATGGGTGCTTCAGCAGACGAAGTCTCAGACGAACTTTGTGCCTTCGTCTCCGCTGTGCTCATGATTGTCCAGCAGACAGGGAGACACACTTCTGTCCTGTTAAGGGGG